CAACTCTATCTACCACTGAAGAGCAATTGAAAATGCTCTTAGTCCTCTCAGAAATATTTATCTTCTTCCTGAGTGCAAGGAAGGATAGCCAAAGCAAGCACAGAATTAAGCCAAGCGAGTTCTTATTTCCCTGACGTAATATTTTGGACAGAGGGGACGTTGTCAAGTAAACGAAACCGAGTGGGACAAAAACACCCAGGCAAAAATCACCTCGGCTCTGTGGATCTTTTGTTTGACCTCGCGATATAAGAGAGACATGCATTCAGGTCCCTATATTTTCCAAAGAACCTGTTTCACGTTGCTTTGCTAGAGGAGGAATCTTTGTGCATTGGAGAGGATCCCAGGGAGATGGTTGACTCAGTTTACATGGGAACGAGCCAGACCCATTGGGCCTGACAGCCATACTGTGTTAACTGAGAATGCACCAGGAACAATTTGACAATTGCTGCTTTGAGGCTACATATCTAAGAAAAGAAATACTGTAAAATTAATGAATGTTAGAATGATGTTGGATAAGAAGTTAAGTGGTTTTTAGCTATAATGCTATAAGGAATATGAAAAAATGGATTATTAATAGGTTAAAATTTAATGTTATAATATTTTAAGATTAAAGATTAGGATAAACAAAGAGGGAAAGGATTTGCTGAATTAACAAACTGAATTGGAATACAAAAAAGGGAGGTGTGAGGAGGTCCGGGAAACAAGCAAATGAAAGATGGAATTGTTTTTAACTATTTTTATTTTGTATTTTTCTTTTTCCTTTTTTTCATTTTGTAATACTTTGAAAATCTTAATAAATATCTTTTTTTTTTAAAAAAGAGGCTACATATCTAAGAAAAGAAATGGTGGGTTGTTTTTTGCATTAATCAAAATAGGCTGTGCATAAGAAATGGTCTCTGCTGGAGAGAATGACCTCAGTATAATCAGCTCCCAGATTTCTTTTTAGAAATCAACTCTCACCCTTGGCTGCAATCCACTGTTAAGAATCTTTGTTTTGTTCTATCAGAACTTACGTTCCACCCTGCTGCTTTATGAGGCTGTAGCTCACGCTACAGTACAGAAGATAGCAACCACAAGAAACAGCCTGAACCAAATTATTCAGGCTTATGAGGAAACTTCGCCTCTTTGGCTTGTCACCATTTTCACTGCTTCTGCCCCACCATGTCTGTATTTTAGCAACGGCATAACACACACACACAAATAGCAAGCAAAGGATTTCCTCTGGCAAGTTGGTGGTTGGGCCTCATAAATTTTGGCATTAGGCTGCTAACAAAGGCATCGGAGGAGAGCGTGGTAGGGTCTCCAGGTGAGAAGGGGTGGTTTGGTGTCTAGTAGGGTTGCCATATGTCTGGAATTACCTGGACATATCTGTGTCTGGGCAAAAATCACTAAAAATGTCCGGGAAAATCCAACTCATATTGGCAGTGTTGTTTTTGACTATGTTTCTTAAAAACAGCTCAAAAACTTCATTTTTTTTGGTGAATTTACCAAAAAGCTCAACAATTTTGGGCAAAACTATATATATAAAAAAGCAGCTCAACGTTTCCCTCTCTTTGAAGGTGTGTGTGCTGCCTCATCTTGGGATAGGTGCATTTTCTGAAGGTGGGACAAATGCAGTGCAGCTCAAATTTACATTTAAAGAGCAATTAGTCCAGTTCTGCCCCCCACCCCACAAAGTAGAGGTATCCACAAACTTTAGCAAGAAAGGCTATCTGGAATGGATGGGTAGGGAAACAGAAGCAGTCCAAGGACTCTATTTCAGATCTACTTGGATGAACCCTACACCTCCAAAGCCCTATTTCCGCCTGCTTGTTAAATGAGATTTAAGCAAGATGCAGTCCACTAAGCTTGGGCACAACAAGTTAAAGTTTAGACATTTTGTCCCAGTTTGGAGTCAGGCAAAACCTTCTTATCTTTGTGAAGATATGAAGCCAGAAATGAGTGTTGGGCTTGTGAACTACGCTTTCCCTGTGTGCCGGCTTTGATGCGGAGATCCTGGTTTGGTGGTGAAGGAAAGATGGAAGAGGGAGGAGCTTGCATGCCTGATGCTCATTTTCAGCTTGGTAAAACATGAATGTCACATCTGAACCAGCCTTCTGGTAGCTGTTATTTTGAAAAGACCATTTTCTACACGCCACTGCTTGTGCTCATGTGATTACTTCACTCAAAACTCTATTTCCCCCCTCCAGCTGGCTGATGTTTTTTCTTGCAGAATTGTGTTTCTCTTATCTGCTGTACCCAATACATTAAAAAACAGGATTTTAAACTTGCTGAGGTTTCCCCAGCATAAGTGAAAACAGAAATATTTTAATCAGGACTAAGTCACAATGAGTCCAGGGAAGCATTCAGCAAAAAACCTCGAAGCTGCCATGCTTCTTACTCAGTGGCCCAAGAAATTCCGAGCAGATGTTGATATCACATGTGGAAATAGTTATTCTGGTTGTATCATGCTGTGTGTGGCTCTGTGTCCTACATCTAGGAACGTTGCCTCTTTAATTATAATAACTCACATTAATTATTATGTGGTTTGAAAGTTAATTCCAAAATAAAAATGCTGTCTGCCTTTTTCTCTCATCTGTTTACATTGTTGAGCAAAGCAATAGTTGGCATGGTATTGTTGTTAATCCTTAGTGTTGCATTAGGACTTGAGAGACCCATGTTCCAATCGCCACTCAGCCCAGAAACTTGCCCAATCACCTTGGGCCAGTTAATCAGGTTTCAGCCTAACCTACCTATGGACGCTAAGGCTGTTCTGAGAGAGGCAGTGCTTTTTTTCTTTAAAAAAATGTACCCCTAAAAATGTTTAGGGGGACTCTCATTTTGACTCAAGAAAATCACCATTTTCGGGGAAAATAAATACAGTGGATGCTCGGGTTGCGAATGTGATCCTTGCGGGAAGCACGTTTGCAACCTGCAGCTGCACATCTGCGCACGTGCGGGTTGCGATTCAGCGCTTCTGCGCATGTGCAAAGCATGATTTAGCGCTTATGCGCATGCGCAGCCGCCGAAACCCGGAAGTAACCCGTTCCGGTACTTCTGGGTTTCGGCGGTTCGTAACCTGAAAAAACACAACCTGAAGCGTCTGTAACCCGAGGTATGACTGTACAGTAAATGGACAAAAGTACAAAGATTCACAAACTGTTTAGGGGTATGTGTCCCCCTGCGTCCCCCAGGGGAAAAAAGCACTTGAGAGGTGAAGAGATTTCACTGGATGTAGGAAACCAGGGTAGGAATTTGAGGAGGGGAGTCATATGCCTGAGTGATAGAAGAGGTGAACATTTTGGGCAGCAGACGTGAAATGACTGAAGACTGTTTTGCAACAAAGGATAACCAGGCAGAGAGGAAAAGGTTGTGGCGGCATGAAGTTTTTAGATGAGTTTTAAAGCTGAAAACTTTTCAGTGTTGTGCAGGGACAAAGTATACGACGGATCTGTGGGATATGCTCTCTGGAAGTAAATTAATGGAAATAAATTCTTTTTGGAAATTCCATTATTTCTCATTGAGGTGATTATACATACCAGCCACAGGCCAGAGTTGCCATGCCAAGTTAAAAACCTGCTGACAGCCTACATTTTCTTAAACTGGCAGCATTTGTACTTATTTTATAGTAACATCTTGGGAGTTTCCTGTGTAAAGTGGCCTCTTTCATATTAAGTCAGGGAATACATTGTTGACATTTGCTGTCCCCCCCTGAAAAACATTTTCCAAAGCTCAGTGGTGGTTTAGTGTTACACACACTTTTAACCAACTTTCCTGACTTTGAGGCAAGCGAATTCCACATAGTTTTGGTTGCACTCATCATTCGGAAATGGGTGGGGCCTCCACTAAAACCTTTTAAGGTTTGGTGGTTGGCCCAAATATTTGAGGAGGGCCTTTTCCCTACTCTTTAATTACATGTTGTTTTTCTTTCCATAAAGATTTAAAAAGAGATCTTTGTGTTGCATTATGAGGAGACAGCTTCCCTCATATAAAAACAATGCTAAAGGCAAAATAAAGAAACCTGTGTAAAGAGTTAGCACTAATACTAATTTACTGCTGGGTAAGTCATCTTGAATTCAGTTAGCCAGAGTAAACATTCCTAGAATCTAGCGCTATGTGGCCTGATGCGCCTAATCTCACAGCGCTCCAGTTTCTGTTCTTATGTTTAACAACAACAGAATATTATTGATGTAAACAATATAAATATTACGAACAATATTTATTGAGGATCTAGTCCACAAGCTTAACACAAGTCAGCAGTGTGATGCAGCAGCAAAAAAAGCTAATGCAATTCCAGGCTGCATCAACAAAAGTACAGTGGTACCTTGGGTTAAGAACTTAATTTGTTCTGGAGGTCTGTTCTTAACCTGAGGTACCACTTTAGCTAATGGGGCCTCCTGCTGCCACTGTGCCGCTGCTGCACAATTTCTGTTCTCATCCTGAAGCAAAGTTCTTAACCTGAGGCACTATGTCTGGGTTAGCGGAGTCTGTAATCTGAAGTGTATGTAACCCGAGGTACCACTGTATAGTGTCAAGATCAAGAGAAGTAATAGTACCACTCTATTCTGCCTTGGTCAGACCAGAAATGGAATACCGTGTCTAGTTCTGGCCACCACAATTTAAGAAGGATATTGACAAGCTGGAACATGTGTAGAGGAGGGCGACTGAGATGATCAACCAACCAATAAATAATGTCACTTACTCTAACAGAGTTCAGTTGCCTGTTCTGTTCTCTTGGTATTACATTGAAAAACCACACAGTTGTGATCTTTGGCATATTTCCCTCCACACACTAGTAAACTTTAGAAAGAAGAGGTCATCTCTGTGGTGAGTCACCCCTGATGAGCTATAGGAGGTCCCAGTTCTTCTGAATTGTGGAACCCTTACGAGTTCAACTCTTCAGTGGATGCTCCCACGCGTGGGGGAGTCTAAGTATTTTTGCAAAACCTAAATATAGTGTGGAATAACAAAACAAGGCCTAGGCAAAGTGTTAATATTGCTTGGTTTCCTCCCTCTTGCAGTTGCTGCTGATCCTGTCACTGATCTCCCAGGGAGTTTGGAACAGAATGACTGGTGTGATGAACACAATACAATTCATAAGCGCTTAGATACTATCCAAGAGGTAAGGCGATCTAGCAGAGCAATGTTACAGGCCAAAGTTACTCTTCCAGTCTGTTCCTTGGTACCTCTCCAAAGTGGCTCACTTAAAATACCAGGTTTGACTGAGGATTTCCACAAAATTTGGTTGCACAATATATGGGTCACAGTCAAAGGGGCAAGAGATCTGTAATTGTGTCACACTGAGGTGGTGGTGGGGAATACAACATCTTTCTTTTCATGAATCTTGCTTTAGACACTTACAAATAATATATGAACTACTGTGCTGGGAAGGTTCAGGGGCAATTAGACGTGACAGTATACCAGCAAGCAGGGCTATAGATTCATTATTACAGCTCATGCATTGTGGATGCAAATAATCCATGATCACTTTTGGGAGTACAGTTGTACCTTGGAAGTTGAATGGAATCTGTTCCAGAAGTCTGTTTGACTTCCAAAATGTTTGGAAACCAAAGCGCGACTTCTGATGGGCTGCAGTAACCTCCTGCAGCCAATCAGAAGCCGCGAAAGCCCCAGCAGACATTTGGCTTCAAAAAAAAGTTCAAAAACCAAAACACTCACTTCTGGGTTTCAATCGTTTGGGAGCCGAAACGTAGGAGTACCAAGGCGTTCGACAACCAAGGTACGACTATGCATGAAACCTTTGGGCAGAAATCTGATTGTCAAATACATTCTTGCCTTGATTCTTCATCCACATGTTTTGCACACAGCACTTTTATTTTACCTCTGTTTGTATGTGTTTACAGCAACGTATAAAAACCTCTCACTGGCTGTATTTGCATGGAACATTCAGAGGTATGAGAATGAGCTCATGCGAGCCTCAGGATGCACTCCCTCTGGTGTGGCTTTGAAGAAAGCAGAAGCTTCTCCTTCCATTTTAACTACAGTTTACCATTGCATCTGAACCCCATACTATAGTTAATCATAAAATGAGGGGCTTGCACATTCTTTGTATGTGAAAGTTCTCCAGGTAGGCCTAGTGAAAATCCCTTATCTGAAACCTTGCAGAATGGCTGCTAGGCAAGATAGATAACCCTGAATCAGATAGACCAATAGCCTGGCTTCTTATAAGACTATGTTCTAGCATACAGTTTTTGTAAACTAAATCAGTTTCATCACTGTCTGAAGTTGGCTTGGGGTTTTGTTTTGTTTTGTTTTTGGTAGATTATAGTTAAGAGTAACTGCAGTTTGTGTGGGTTCAGATGAGCCACTAATCTGCAATTAATCAAAACTCCTCTTCTGCTGGGAGGGAGATCTAGGGCAGGAAATTCCACCAGATCCTTGGAAATGGGATCTGGCAGAATGTTCCCCAGCAAACAATCAGCGTAAGCCTCAAGCCAAGCTATTATACAGTTCTGTGTTGCTGGTACTTAACGCTGTCGTGCCTTAACCAGATATATAGTACAGCAAAAATAGCAAATGTTGGGCTGTGGTGTATATACTCTGGCTGTGTCCTGAAGTCATAGCATTTCGCAGCGCTGGGTTTACGGCAGTTCCCTTGAACAGGTGCCAAGATAAGGGGGCGTAAAACTCTGACGGAGTGCACTTGAGAGCATGCATAGCACGGAAGGTGCTAAATTTTGTCCTCACTCAGGGCACCAAACTACCAAAGTCCACCCCTGCATTGGAGGAGGACATAAGAACGTAACTGGAAGTGATAAAGGTTTATAGATTATAAATGGGTCCTCTTGTTTTATGTTAAAGGCATTGTACACAGAAAATAGGGAATTTGACTAGGCAGAATGATCACCCTCTGTAACTGGAGGAAGAGGAGGAGGAGGCCATTCATGAGAATGGATAATCAGATTTTGGACATTGTGTATATATGGTTAAGGTTACAAATATGGCGAGAACCAGACAATACCAGTCAGATGGTTTTTGTGAAAAAAGGATTGTTTTCATAGTGTATTGGAGCAACAAGGTTCAAGATTAGGCAAACCTGTTTGTATTACTTGGTACTTTAGGACTTCGATGTATTCTATATGATTTTGGTAAAGAAATTCATTTGTTTTTAGCTCACAATATCCATTTTCTGCTTTTTGGGTGTTTAATATGTGTATTCATGTTTTTGTTTTCTTTACAACTCTATTTGCTTTATTTTGTTCTGTTACAATAAAAATAATATAAATTTATACACTCAACAGACAAAAAACACTTCTATCAACCACAGCAGAGGAAGGTGGTTTAACATTACAAGTACATAAACCAGGCCAGTGCCCAGTTAATCTCATCAATTAAAAAATAAATAAATCAACACCCTTGTCCACTAGAGGGCAGCACAAGACCAGAAATGCTAACCCTGCTCTCTACAGATCTCTCCCTGCTTGTAGCGTATCAAAGTCCTTGGTGTAGGGTTGGCTTATGGCGGATGTAGCTTGCAAAGGATGAACTCCCACCTGCATCTGCATTCACTGTGGGAGTGATGAATCCAAACGGGCAAGGGGTACAATGGACTTGCAACTTACGCACATTTAACTTGTACAGCTGCAGTGCTATGTGCGTGGCGGCCAGCCAGCCAGCTGAAATCAAACAAATTAAATGCATGCAAGGCGGAGAGCTTAAAAGCCCATCGTGGGAAGAACCTTTAAGCTCTCTGATTTGCTTCCCAGGCTCTGTGAGGCTCTTGCGAAAGCCTCCGCAACCCACGCAAGAGCCTCCCAGAGCCCATTCAGTAAAACAGAGAAGGTTCTTGTGGTGACTACAAGTTTTCCCCCCAGAATGACCAGACAAACCACGGTTTTTCTTAAAAGTTTGACGTCTCTTCCAGCCTTGCTCTTGCCTTGGACGTTTGTAGATTGGACAGCTGGGATAGGGTGGTCAAACAAGCCTTATGGTTCACATGCAACGTCAAGTCATAGCCCAAGACAAGATTCATAAGCCAACAAAAGACAATGCCTTTGGATTGAGAGTGGCTTGTTGGCAGTAAATCCCCACTTAGCGATGAAACTCACTGGGTGACCTAGGGGCACTCAATGTCTCTCAGACTAACATCCTACCTCACAGGGTTGTTGTGAGGAGAAAATGGGGAGGGGAGAACCTTGTACACCAGCTCACTGAAGGAAAATTTTGGGATATAGAGGAAGCCAACCAACCAACCATAGTTAAGCTGTTTGGCAGAGTTCGCACAAAATGCTAATTCAGGAGATGCTGATAGAAGTGGATTACCCTAAATTTCGCTTTTCTTCATTAGCAGGTGGAAAAGACTGTTGATCTTCTTGACTCTGAAGTCAAGTCCCTGCTGAACACCATAAGTGAAACTGCATGGAATGTTCCTCTTGCTCCTGGAACTCCCTTGATGGATATCTTTGAAGGTACGAGTCACAGAGAAATGTAGTACATCTATTATCCATGTGTCCACAACTGCTTGTAAATGTTGCAATTCAGCGCACAGAATGCAGTTGTACCCTGAAGATCACTTCACTTGGGGAATAATATGGTTGGTTGCTGTACCCTTAAAACTCCAAGATGTGTAACACTACTGAAATATCTGTTTCAAGTTCATCGGCTACTATGAACTTCTGTAAATGAAGTAAGTAATCCTGTTCACAGAAGGGCTTTAATCTAGCAAAACCTTCACTAGTGGATGGGTGTGGTGGGGAGAGGGGAAATTTCCCCTCTGCAGGACCCTGTGCCGCCCTGAAATCTGCTCTGGAAAATTTGGTTACCTCTGGGGTGTTTTGGGGGGGGGCGGGGGGAGAGAGAATCAAGTGAAAACTGCACCTCCTGCTTCTGTTAGTGGAAGGCTAACACTGGGATGTGACCCTTCATCTGCTTTTTAACAAATACTGCCTTCTCTAGAAACCGGTGGCTTGGTGGATTGCCACTACAATCTCCCTTCCTCTCTCTCATTTGCTAGATACCAGTTGAGCTTCAAGACGACGGACCAAAGGAACAGACTGTAATATCTATATACCTGTATCTCCCACCTACATAATTAACCCATATTGCACTCTTTCATAAGCTTCCAGACCAGACAGATGTCTTCAGACTTGGGATGGGGAGCATTCCATCACAAGTTCCTCTGTGTTATGATCTAACCATACTGACGCATAATACCAAAAGAGAAGTTTTCTTCCCACCTATCCTGAAGATTTAGAGACTCCTAAAATTGTTGTAAAAGAATCCTCACTGCAAGGACCACTGTGGAGATGTTAAATGTCCCGGAAGGTCCAGCCGTCTGGCGGTAAAGAAAAAGGAGCAGAAATTAGAAGAGGTACTGTTGGAAGTTTTCACGGGGTACCTGGCAGTCTCCAAAATGGGGTTGGCATCTCTGGTCACAAAGAAATTGTTGTTTTAATTGATTGCTCAAATTTTAGGACGGTTAACCTGTTAACTAGCTAACCTGTAGCACTGGTACTACAAGGGAAAATAAGCAACAGGTGCTTATGGCGCTACTGGAGAGTAGGGGCAGGAAAGCATGTGAGCCTGGCTGCAGCACAGTCAAATATACAGCCTTGTTCACAAGCTTCCTAGAGGCATCTAATGCTGATCATTGCTGGAAGCACCATGGTGGGAGTTTTGGTCTAGTCCAGCAAGACTTCCAATCTGGCAGTACTCCCCAGCTGAAAAACCTTGTGAAAGCGCATTGAGTGCCTATCTACTGAGGGGCATTCTCCTAACTTCTGGACTTGTGGCACACTTGCCAAAAACTGGTTCCAAACTTCTTGAAATATCCAGGTTTGTCCAGTGTTGGAAACAGGATGCAGAGCTCAGTGGCCCAGGAAAGGGTTTGTTTGTCCTCGTGTCTTTGCCCAAGCCTTTCTTATGAAGGGACAGGTCACCAAGGAGCCACAGTGAGCAGCCTAAGTGGAATGATTTCATGTTTTATGTAGAAGCTAGAACCCCTCTGCATATGCCTCTGAAACATTTGCTCAAGAAACTGCCTGATGGTGCTTAAGCTCACTAGTCTGATTTGCCTGAGACACAACTCATTCCCCAAGGGGAGCCATCCATGGTTGAAGCTGAATATCCCAAAGAAATGATGCTGTCAACATGGCAGAAATAAGAACACTGATGCAGGAGGCTTGGGTACTAATTTGGTTTATTTGTACAAATCATCTTTTAAAAAATTATATATTTGATTTTAAGGTAGAATTCTACAAAAACACGCAAAGAGAAAAAGCTTTGGCATACACTCAGATTGAAAGACAACTTTGGCTGGATCATGCTAGCGGCAAGTCCATCTAAGAATCAGGGAACTGAATGGGGAAAGTGAAACATGTGCTGAACGCTTAAATCAATGGGGGTTTCCTTTGTGCCTATTTTTGTAAAAGAGGAGCATTTTATGTGGAATCTCCATTGACTTCTGTGTTCCTGTATTCTAATAAAATGTTTGGAGCTTGTAAAGCAGCCTTTTCTAACAATGAAGCCTTGTTCACATGTTGCTTTCAAGAGAAAAAGCTGATCCTCCGCATATCGAAAAACGAATGAGTGGAAATATTTGTTTGATTGTAGGCTGTCCCTGAGAGCTAAACTACTGTAGATATGACGCTGAAGACATCAACAGAAAGCCAATAGATTTTTAAGTTTTAAAAATGGCTGTGTGTGTTTGAAGTGTTGGGATTCTGCATGTGCAGAGAGATTAAGCCCTTTCCTCTCCTTTTCCCAACTCTGGAAAAAAAAACTGCTCCATTTCATGCTGCTATTACCTCTTGGAAAGGAAAGCTCTCATTGGCAAGTATAAGCCTTAGCAGACTTAGGTTTTTGTGGGTGTGCTTTGTAACATGCCATTGACACAATAGTGCATTAAGACACTATCCCGCTGTCTTAGTTGTTCTGTGATGCTTCAATAGCAGTCTTGCACTCTTAGCACGTGAAAATGGGACAAAAATAAACGTTTCTAGAGGAAAACATAGCTGTACCACATTTTTGCAGGTGCACTCTTGGAAGTGGGGTCATGCATAACCACCAGGTTATCAGCAGGAGCATAAATCTGCAAGAATGCACATGAAACAGGACATTCGGAGGGACCCTAATGACAACACCCTGGCAGACTTCCTAACATCTTGGTCCTGAATTCTGCCAATGCACCACATCCCTTTTCCTTCAATTTAGGGACAATATCACAGACTTCAGGGAGATCCAGCATTCAAAACAACATAAGGCAGCATAAAGATTCTAGCCAGACTTTTACATTTCTCCTTGAACAGCAGTGAGTGAACAGGGTCTGAAAGTCTACCCAATCACTCTTCAGAACAGGATTTATTTTTTTAATTTAAGCAACAAGCATGTAGATATCAAATGCACCATGCACCACACATACAAAAAATGTTTTGTACTTTTTTTTGTAAGACACAAAGCTGTATAGAATCATTTGGCACGCACAAATAAAGGCGTTTCCAAACAAAAGCTATTCATGCAACACAAGCCACTTCGATACAGTGGAGTGTGTCCCCCCCCCCATAAGAAAGCAAAAACCTGTTTGTGAACTCTACAGCTATCTGGTGCAGCAGCCTCTCTCTCTATAGCAGGATTTATTTCTGTACTCATGATATATTATTCAAGAAAGGAATAACGTGGCACTTTAGAGAAAATCTTCTGGATATTTGGAGTTTTGACAGCATGTGTGAAATGATAGCATAAATGATTCTTTTAAAAAAAACCAAAAAACAATATTCCAGGGGACTCAACTTAGTCGTTTCCACCGCACAATTTCAGCAGGATTTTCCTGTAGTCTCCAGAAGTGTCACCCTGGTAAGAAACACCAAAAGGGGAAAAAGTGATCTTGTGCCAAAGGTTAAAGAGAGCAATCATCTCTGTGTCAGAAGCCAACAGGTGAACCTCCCAGTTACACAAGGCATACACCCTGCTCGTCTGAACCTATAGACAAGACTTTTATACCTGGGGAGACAGCAGCCACCTGATTTTTTTCTCTACCTCCCCCCCCCAACACTCCAATAGCAACATATTATTTAACATGATAGGTTTTTTGTTTCACTTTCCCAACAGTGGTGTGGAGCACATTCGGCCCCCTGGTATACTGTGGAGCCACAGCCTATGAAACAGGCCAGATTAGTATTTCCCAAACTTGGGTCCTCCAGCTGTTTTTGGACTACAGTCCCCATCAACCCTGACCGCTGGTCTGGCTAGCTAAGGATGATGGGAGTTGTAGTCCAAAATCAGCTGGGGACCCAGGTTTGGGTAACACTGGGCCAGATGATGGCTAGAGTTCAGGTGGAGAAAGCCCCGCTGTGAAGATGAATGAGCATGGCACCGGCTCCCAAAAATGGTACTGGGCCAAGTTTCAAGGTTTCGGTGTGGACACTGGCATTTTGAGTTGGCACACATGGAAAGCGAGACAAGCCCTTCACAATCTTACCGTAATGTCTGTGTAGAGAGATTTGCCATACATCCTCTTGTATTCCTGCCTTATGTCTAGCAGGTCAACCTCACTGCGTGACACCATGATGCGAATGAGAGTCCGGTCTTTGGTTCCAGCTCCCTGCGAAGAACGTGGCAGAATGTGAATTGTTATCAGACTGCGATGCTCCCTCTGAACATGTAGCATTGACTGTTACTCAAAATGGCCGCTCAAGGCTTTATGGCAGGCGTCCCCTAATGTGGTGCCCTCAATATGTTTTGGACTATACAACTCCTGTCATCCTTCTCCATTGGTCACAACGGCTGAGGCTGATATGAGTGGTAGTCCAAAATATATGGAGAACAGAGTTGGGGACAGCTGCTTAATTGATAACGAATTCAAAGTCCAAAACCTTACACATGCCCATTTGTTAACAACAGGGTGGCATATCCTTTTTAGCCTGAAAAGATGTTAAGGGGAGGGACAACTGAGAAGGGAGAATAGGAGAAGGGGAGAAAAGGGGGCACCAAACCCTTTGCCTCCCTGCTGTCACCCCATTTCAGTTCACAACCACCACAACACCAACACCTCTGTCATTTAAAATCAGGGCTGTGGAACCCGGGCGGGAGGGGAGGAATTGGAATGAAGAAAATGGCAATGGGTTATGTGCACACGCCTGCAGCCATTTCTTGCTCGATCATTGCCTCCAGAGGTTTTTCAAGCTACAGTTACAGTTGTGTGAAACATGTCTGCCAGCCCTAAAATCTGATATCGTGGGCTCAGATCTACATCCCAACGGAGTCAGCTTCTAACAGCTCATTTGAATATCTGACCCCACGGACGTGCAGAGGCCCACATGATTTCAACTCACCTTCATGGCCTTGTGCAGCCTCTCTGCAAAGAAAGCAGGTGTATTTCTTACACACTTAACTGCAAAAGAAATTGAGATCACCAGTTACTTGACTGTTAACCATTTGCTAACCATTAAAAAAAGCAACATCAATGCCATACTGTTTTTGCTGAAATCCGCTTTCTCAGGTTAACCTGGGAGTTGAGATGACTCAGTGAATGTCATTGGGAGGAACAAAGGGGACAATCACACAAAATCAGATTTAAAAAAAAAAAAAGCACACAGTCATGCAATCCAAACAGCTATCAAACAGCATCTACCTTTTTACTTGAGCATTTTATGGGAGTGGAAGCAACCAATGGTGATGTTCATTTGTAACCTAATACAAGGTATGTTCCTTTTTGATATCAATGTTAAGATTTCTCATGTAGATGAACAAGGCACACATTACACTTCAAGACCGGAAAATGGGAGGCAGTGAAGTTAGTCACACACTATGGGAGTATTGCATACAGTTACCAAGCTTACAATCCTGAAAGCTATAATGGAGCCAAAAAAAAGGGGTACATATTTCCAGTTAGATCTGGTGCAAAGAGTAAAAGCCATTTTATACGACAAAAAACAGTGAGTGTTTATAGAACACATTTAAAATATTCAAGCAGCTTCATATATTATTGCCTTGTAAATCCTTACGACCGTGCTGCAGGATATAGTAGTTTGCCTAAGGTCACCCAATGAATTGGTGGCCAATATGACACTTTAACTAGCACTCTGGGATTCACTGGTTGATAGTTGGCCACTTATGACAGGGTAAGTGATCCTAGAAGTTATTTAACATTTTTGAAAAGGAACTTGGTGATGGCAACAGCTTTTGGCACAACACTCGCCTTATCCAAGAAACACACTTAGAATGTAAACACGGTGTTGTTGGACGTGACTTATCTTCAAAACAAGAGGAATGAAAGATGAGAGGATACAGACAAAGGTTGCTGTGCCTGGCATGGAAGGTGAAGTAGCAAGTTCAAAGGGCATCCTCAGTGGAATCCTAGCCCTTTCCCCAATCACACGAACTGTGACTTGTTAAATGGGAACCAGGTTTAACGAGACAAACCAAAGGAATGGTAAATGCAATTTATAACCAAGTTCTCTGGGGGAAGTAAAAGTAGCTTCAAACTGAAACTCGCAGCCGAAGCCAAATATTCTTAAGAGAACTATTGTATAGAAAGTGGCATGAAATATATGATAAAATATTCTGAACGGCAAAGTTTTTCACCTACACGTTGAACCGAGCTTTATGACTTGCTTTCCACACATATACATGACTCAGATACGGTATCATCTCTTAGCTTTGCCCCTCTTTTGTGCTTTGAAATACATCTTAAGTAACATACATGTCACATTTTACCCTGCCAAAACACACAAATACTTTAAAAGCAACTCTGAGAATTTGCAGAAAAGGTTGGTGATACCGCAGGTGCTAGCCAATAGGTGCCATGCATAGCCTGCTATCCCCCAACTTCTGGATCTTTTTCAAAAATTATATATTTTAAAGCGTGCAGTCCAGGCCAGAAAACTGTGTGTTTTTAGGGAAGCAAAGGAACATTCAAACCACAATTTGAAAAGTTAGATTCATAGTGGTGCAATGGGTCAAGTGCATCTGGCTGTTAACCAGAAAACTGGTGGTTTGAACCCACTGAGGGATGCCTGTGTGCTGGATTCCTGTATTTGCAGGGGGTTGGACTAGATGACCCTCGGGGGTCCCTTCCAACTCTATGATTCTATGATCTTCACTCTTAAAGAGACCTCACCCACCTACTGCCAGCATCCCAGATTCGAGGTCTCCCGACATCTCTCTGATTATGCTCTTCTCAATGTCACGGTTACACATTCGCTGATATTCACTGAAAACTGGAGAGAGAGAGAGAGAGAGAGAGAGAGAGAAGGGATCATCAGTCATTTAAGCCAGGTGAGTGTGAAGAGTGAAGTCTGACAACCAACTCTTGAAGGACGTTGCTAAGTCTTAAGTCAGTTGCACTGCCCCATCACAGGCCTTCAGTTGTTTTGTCTGGTATGGCACTAACTCAGATCACTTATCTAAGTTGACATCTGGTGGCTGGATGACAGACAGACACCGCCTCCCCAATTATTAACTGTGGACCCTAACAGGAGGACAAACACCCTTTGTTATGTAGAAGGAGGAATTTCAGGCAGTGCAGCTTTTCTCACCTGACAAATTTCTACATAACTATTTAAAAGGTACCCAGCCCTTCTTTGCATCTGATCAGAGTTGATTGATCTTAGGCACCATCAAAAATGAAAATATTAGTTACCACTTGTCAAGAAAAAGCATGTATAGTCTCTTGCACTGTTGCAGCCTAATTTTACAATCACCAAACATCCTCTCGATGCAAAGTATAGACAGAAATTACCTGCTATTAGGTGAGCTTTACTTCTGGCACAGAGAATTGCATTGAATTTGGATTCATCAGTCCCAAGTCGATTTTCTCCTGCTGCATACAGCGCCTTAAAAGAAAAAGAAAATCACAGGTCATTACTTGAGCTCAGCTGCTTTCCAAATTTCACTCTGCTTTCAAAGGTTTCTTCTCTCTTACTACTCATTCTTTAATTATCTTGATATTTCTGGACTGGTCCTATTTCTCTCCCACACCTTTGTTCACTTAGCTAACCTTCGCTAACCTCCCTAACCATCAAGGATGCAACTATAATGCAAGCAACCTGGGACTGCAGCCAAAGTACTACAGGCTCATGTTGAATTTTGCTTTCTTCCCCTTGCACACAACACAACTTCACCTTGCATCCCAAATGATGCTGTTAAGCTGCACATTTCACTGCCCCCACTTCATACTACTGACTGAAAGTTACTGGTGCGAAAATCCTTGCAAAATGATATTGGGACAAAGGGATGCCACTGAAAATGGCAGTGGCGTATTCCTTATAACTAGGGCCGAGCCAAAATGTGACAGAGCGAACGTTTTCGGTGTGAAATGGGGGTGAATGAAAAATTCCACAAGTACATTCCAACTCTCCTCCCTCCATGCTTTCACTCAGAAAAACTGAGGTTTGTAAGTCACAAGTTTATGCAACCCTGAGAAAGGTGCGTAGTGCCTCCTTCCATACAATTTGAAATAAACAAAAAAATTCACCACACAATGAACCAAAAGGAGAAAGTTGCACATTTCGGGGAAATTACTGCAGCACCATTTCATTTAGTAAATAGTTCCAAAAATGGAATAGCTGCAGGTAAATTTGAGAAGGGTTTTAAAAAAATATATTCGATTGTAATCTTCTTGTTGCTGTTATCTTGGGATCATTTATCTGTAGTAACTTGAAAAAGGGAAACTGTGCAAACTGCTCAATATAGAGCTGAGGAAAAGCCATACCAATCCCCCCTTTTTTTCAAAAACAGGGGCTGTGGGGGCAGGAGGAATATTTTTTTAAAGCAAACTGTTTTCAGGGTAACTTCCACGCTAGAAATTAGGCCAGAGGAGAAACATGCCAGGTTGTGGGGGAGTACACACGGCCTCAAGTTTTAGATTTCATTAAAGTAGGAGATGTTTAAAGGAAACCAAGAGTCTGCTCAATGCAGCAGCCATCTGGCTGGGCCTTTAAAGAGAAATCAGTGTGGAACATAAACTAGACAAGACTCCTCATACTAACCTGAGCATCGCTTTGGACAGCCGCCATGTTGACACTGGTACTTTCATCTCTGTTTCCCTGAAATAATTACCAAGTCAGTCAAAAGATGAAACACTGCTTTCGAAACACTGTAACTGATGTTAGTCTAATGAGGTTGTTAGTCCAGCAAAAAGCAAGCTGAACAGTTTAAAGTATGCTTTGTTCTATTTGCTTGTTAAACATGTGTATTTGTTTCATGATGCTTCCAATTTAATGTTGCAACACATTAAGGTTAAATGGGACAGACAAATTCTCACCAGTCTGTATATTTTCAAACATGATCACTGTTAACTTGATATCCAAGATCTGATAATTTAAGATTCTTTGGTAAAATATAGATGGACAACAGTTATCAGAGATATATATACCGTATTTTTCGCCCTATAGGCCGCACTTTTTCCCCTCCAAAAATGAAGGGGAAATGTGTGTGCGTCCTATGGGGCGAATGCAGGCTTTCGCTGAAGCCTGGAGAGTGAGAGGCGTCGGTGCGCACCGACACCTCTCCCTCTCCAGGCTTCAGGAAGCTATCCGCAAGCCTTGCGAGAAGCAGCCTGCAGCCCGAAGCACAGGGCGTCCTCCGGAGGGCGCCCCGTGCTTTGCGCAGGTGTCCGCAAGCCTTGCGCGCCCAGCGGGAGTTCCCGTGGGCTCGCAAGGCTTGTGGGCAGCAGCCTGTAGCCCGAAGCACGGGGCGCCCTCCGGAGGAAAGTTTTAATGTTTTAATTGAGGAGGGAGAATTGTTTGGTTAGGGGGAAGAAACTTGCAATATACAATTTCATTAACTCCAATGCTTTTCGTCTTGAATTATATCACATCATAGGGAACCGACATCCAGGACCACAGCCAGGATGTTCTGTGCCCTCCATTAGAGGCAAGAGGGCATAACCTCATCACACTGGCTTAAAAACATAAAGGTGATCTCCAGTCTTAGTCATACTCGTGAGTAGAACCACTGAAAGGAATGGACTCAAAATATGCCTGACAACAGATATCACCCCAATACTTCTGTGAATTTTACTTCAATGGATGAATGTAAATCTTAGGAGAACTTGGGTTACGTATAAATTATAGCAACACCAACACAGGACAACCGGGTGCAGGGATCTTGCGCATACCTGAGACAGTGAGATTAAAAGCCTCTGGAAGTGTCCAGATGTGTCGTTTCTGATGGCTTCTTCCAAAGTTTTCTTATGCTCTGTGAGAAATACAAAGGAAACTCGTTTTGTAAATGATCTGTGTTTATTTCATTATAAGGATCACTGGGGTGGGAAGAAAGAGAAGGGAGGAGAGGAAGAGATAATTCTTATCTATTTTTTTATAACACACTGCAAGGACATCTGCTTGGGGGAGAGGATTCACATTCCACTCTTTTATACTCCAGCCAAAATATCAAGGGGGGGAAAAGATGAAAAGGGAAATTTTACACTAAAAGTAGTTTGTGTAAATAGCCCCATTTCGGTTTGACCTACTAGCCAAAGGGAATATTTAAGGCGGCCCACTAGTTCCTCCTCACAAGATACCTTCCATCACTCAAGCTGGGCTTCCAAAGATACTAACAAATCCTACTTTGAGAAACCATCATCCGTTTCTTCCTTTGAATTTGCCATGGGCAGAAAAGGGGTGATTGGTGCTTTTTCCATCTCTCACACTGGGACTTTGCAAGATAATTCAGCAGTGCTTTGATTATGTCTCTGCCCCCTTCAAAATGTGGGGGGAGGGGGAATGATATGTGGGAACAGGAGTAAGCACACCAGGGGCAGGCAAGCAGATTTATGGAGCACTGTTAGTGGGGCAGGGAGAGGGAGCTCTTGGTTTTATTCCCGGAAAGTAAAACTAGGACACCTAAATCAGGGCAAACTTTGGATACCGTAAGCTCAGCTGGTGGATCAAACACATGATAGGATTCTATACAGCACAGAAAAGGAACCAAGAACTGTCAAGAAAACCCTTAAAATTATGTGTTTTAAACAAATGAAACCCTAGATAATGTAGTGTGCTTCAGAAGTTGCTGGCCTATAATTTCCATCGTCCCAAACCACTGACCATGCCAGCTGATGTTAGTCCTTTATGAATTTGTAAGCTGATCCAGCATAAGCTTCTTTGGAGACGAAGTCTCAACAACTTTACTGAGGTTTATTCTTAAGCAACTGTGTGCAAGATTGCTGCCTTATGTGTCCACTTAGAAGCACGTACCGTTGAACTAAATGGGTCTTAATCTTAGAAAAAGCAGGTACAGACTGCAGTCTTTGTGGTGCATCAAGTCTATATAACACTTTGCAATCACACAAAATACAGAGGCGGGGAAGGAGAACAAAGAGACACACCTTGTTCAGCTCTAGGAACAGTTAGCAATGTACTATTGCGCTAAGTAGCTCTTTCTGCACAAACCGCTGGATCAAACAACTGCCTGAAAAAGGGTGAACCTTCATGAACTCCAGTTTGCCCTTGTAAATTGTCTTCTCCATTCTAAATTTGACAACCCCACCCAACAAACCAACAAAGCTCAAATTTATAAACAAAGCAGCAGTTTATGCACTGAACAGCCTTCAACCTCAATGTCCAAAATGCAATTCCTCCTACAAATGTTTCTGCTCAACTTAAACCCGTCATCTTTAAAGGTATTGGGATGGCCTTCTATCAGAACAGCAGAACAACAGAAGTTGCAGAGTTGAGAGGAAAACTCACCTGCTTTGTATGCCCGACTGATTTCCCGAATGTGCTCATTGCTGCGAGACGCCAAGATTTCTATCAGGCAGGCTTCATCCGTGCCAGCTCCCTAAGAAAAGGAAAAGACACTCAAGCTCACCACTAGGCAGAAGCATTTGTCTCCTGGGTTCTGCCCTCTTTTAAGGCTAAGAGAGTGCCAGGCTTACTGGTGTGACTCCTATTTCTAGGCCTCACGTGGACTGAGTGTACTCTTACTAGGTCTGCAATGTTTAATCCATTGCTCAGTCTATTTTTTGATAGACTTAACTGGTCTACAGATAAAGTATTATTGAATGTGCTTTTAAGAATGAGGGTTGACAAAGACCACCTCAAAAGAGGTGTCCTCTCACATGTGACAGGAGCGCATCACACAAAGGACAAAAGAACTATTATTGCATTTTTTTTCCCATATGCGCACTTCAGTGGACTGCTGGATGCCAGCACAGGCTGAGCAATGACACAGGTGTAGAGGGCAGGAACTGCAAACATTGCAACAGAGTTCTCAGTTTCTTCAGTTAGATTAAACTGCAACTGCTGTGCAATCCCCTCCTCCAAGAATTATACAAAGGGAAAGTTGCTTTTGAGAACGGTATACCGTAGTCCCATCACACTGTACATAGCTCTTGAAACAGAAAAATAAGCAGAAGTCTCTTGATTCAGTAGCATAATAAAAACTGATACTGCAAGGGTTGGGTGGAGGAGGTCACAGGATAGGTATTCACACATGCAAATCCAGAATGGTGGGTTTTGAAGACAGGCTTGAAGCAGGAGAAAGATGATGCGTCAAATAAAGAATTTAGGGAGGCAAGAATTATGTAACAACAACAGTAGCTTTCATTTAAACCATACAGACCTTGATGGCTTCTTTTATTTCATAAACATCAAACTGGACAGGAGTCTTCATCATTGCCAAGATTGTCCTCTCGAAGTTGCCGGAAAGCTCAGACTTCAGGTCCTTGATCAAATCCTGGTTTTTTTTAAGCAAAAAAACACCACATGTTTCCCTTGTAAAGTCATATTTAGTGAGTTTTTTAAAGGATGAGAAACAAAAGGTTTATGCCAAAGCTTCCTATTCAAGGCATACTAATGATCTGAATCTCTTTTCTTGCAATGTCAGACTTCAGAAAAGTTCGGTAATATCTGTGAAGTTATTAATATAGCACAATCAGTGTCGACTGCACTTTATTGAGTAACATAAGGAAGGGTAAAGGAGTTTACAAACTAAATTTCTACCAGAGCAGAGGACAAATGTAACAGTGTGAATATTTGCACCCACACAAATTTTAGGTTTTATTTCAGCTGAATAGGGCAATGAACCATAGTAGCCAGTAATTTAAACCCCACTCTTATGTCCACAATATGCTGAGAGCAACTTCACAGCATAAGAAATATGGAAAAAGCAAATGAACACATTATAAACAATGTCATAAACTAAAAAGCAGCAACCCAGGAACATAATGCTTATTTTATTTATTAAATAAATAATTTGCTCAAAAGGGTCATGGTGCCGTTTAAAAACTAAGCAAGCACAAAGCTGGCAAAAGTAATTCCTTAGAAGAATGTGTATTGTTGTTTTGTTACATATTTTGTGCTTTTACACTTAGTAATCTTAAGAAGATGATGATAATTGTTCATTAGCAAAAATGTAGAACTCTGATGCAAAGGTTTTTAAGAGTGGCTGACCAGTAAAAGCTGATGATATGAAGAGAGTGTGTTTGAGGAATACAAAAGTCATCCTGCTGAAAACTGCAAGATATTACCAAACTTTTGGTACCTCTCATTTTGTACCTCTCATTCGTTGGGGTGTCAAGATATTTAAACTCTCTTTCATTATTTCGTTGCCAAAATCATTCACCATCATCATTACGATAATGTGACAACCCCTTGTCCTTAAATCCCTTCAATGGCTTCCTGTCCATTCTCAGATCCAGCTGCCTTGTTCCTACATACAACTCTTCCCATGGCCTTGTCCCCTTATCTCTCTGCATTCCTGCCTGTGATGTTTGTCTGCCCAGCTCCACCATCCTTCAAAAGACTCCTTCTCCCTTAACTGTGCTGCAGCCCTAAAATTGCCTCCCAGAACACCTGCACAAATGCCACCCCTCCCTTTAAATCCATCCTCAAACCCTGCCCTTTCTGTTTAACCCTTGGCACAAAATCCTAGCCCTCTGGCGACTTCAGCATGAAGCTAAGCCAAAGAACATACAAACTAGACCGACTGCACATGACTTCCATGTTTAGCTCTGCCTCCACTTCCTTCCTCTGTTGCAATAATCAAAGAATAATTTCAAGGTGGAGAACTTACCTTTCCATAAGCTGTTTTGAAAGAGAGCAGAATCTGCTGGCGTTGCTTGTTTGAGCGACTTCCCAGACAATCAATGATTGCCTGCTCGTCGGTTCCTGAAAATATACAGAATCAAGTGTTTAGTGCAGCCCCTTCCACCGTCATAGTACTTTCTGATCAACCCACTTCAGCAGAATCTAACCCAGCATTTAGTAATCGGAAAAGGCCAACTTTTAAAACCAAGTGTATTCTCTCCTGCCACCTTATACACTGCATGGCATCACTTGTTCAAATGCATATTTGAATCTGCAGCAGTCATGAGTAACTATGGGATGGCTCAGTTGGTAGAGCACGAGACTCTTAATCTCAGGGTTGTGGGTTTGAGTGCCACGCTGGGCAAAAGATTCCTGCATTGCAGGGAGTTGGGTTATTGGAATAGATGATTCTCATGGTCCCTTCCATCTCTAGGATTCTGTGATTCTATATTCTGTTGTACTTTAGGCAGCAAAGCCTGACAGATGAGCTAAGTCTGTATAACATTATGGGGTATTCGCACACATTCCAATTACTTTTTTTAAAAAAAGAAATCCAAATATTTAAATTTCTGAGGGAAGGGACAGTTGTGCATTTGGTTTGGATTGAAGAGTCATACACGTTTTGCATAGACTAGGAATGGAGAGGTTTAAGTTGGGAGGAAAAAAAGCAGGACAGAATTCAGTGGGAAAGGAAAGAGAAATAATTTGTATAACACTGAAAAATGTTTCACAAAAAGCAAAGAAGCTAAAAGCAACTTTCGAGGTCTTCCAACCTTGAAGAAAAGATCAAATGCTAGAAAGGAATAGAAATCTGGGCATTGCGATCAGAATGAGCAACTACGGAAAACTTGAGTGCAGCAACAGATGCCCTTCTATCTTTGCACAGTAGGCTCCATTCCAGCCATGCAAAAGTTTGATGTCTATACACAGCCCTCTCTATCCAGGCAGGACCACATTCCCTCCAGGCACAGAGCAGGACTGGAAAGGGGGGTGGCTTGGGGAGAGTGTTGGGGGTCCCCAGCCCTGCCCTCAAGGCTAGCAAGCAAGCTCCACAAAATCCCTCTTACGTTTTCTAGCTGGAAGTGTAGGGGGACATTAAACTTGTTCCTTCCAGCTTGTAAAGGTATATCTGAGTGACTGACTTTGCAAAGCAAGGATGGGAAGCCAGATCTGGACGGCTGTCTTTATTGGTTATTCCACAACACACACACACACACCTTGACCTGCCCCATACCTAAAGTTCAATAGGACATCTGGTGTAGGGCAGGTGGGTTGCAGCCTTGCTGAAACAACCCTAAGTGTAAGAGGAGCCTACTGCATCCAGCCAGTGGCCCATCTAGCCCAGCATCCTGTTCTTAGTGGCTGACCAGATGCCTTCGCGAAACCCGCAAGAAGGACTCAAGCACAAGTGCACTCTCACCTCCTGTGTCCAGCAACTGCAAATCAGAAGCACGGCTGCTTCCAACAGGGAGAGTAGTCATGAGCAGTCTTTCCTCCATGAGAGGAGATAGGATAGCCATCCTCCAATATCTCAAGGGCTGCCACATGGAAGATGTTTCCTCCATCTCTGGAGGGTGGGACCCGAACCAATGGATTCTAGTTACAAGGAGGAGAATCCAACCAAACCCTGGGAAGAACTTTCTGATCCTGTTCAACAGTGGAACGGACTCCTTCAGAAGGTGGTGGACTCTCCATCCTTGGAGGTTTATAAGAAGAGGTTGGATGGCCATGTGTCATGGATGCTTTAGCTGAGATTCCTGCATTGCAGGGGGTCGGACTAGACAACCCACTTCCATTTTTCCATTTCTATGATTCTATGTGTACTTGGGCATACATCTGTTGGGCTCACGGAATTTCCAAATCCCTGGTACAGAGAACCCAGACCCATGGCCAGTGTCACAGGCTGTGTTCCAAGGGCAGAAGATGCAATGCTCAGAATCGCTTTCACGTTACCCAGAACACAGATGTAACCGGCAATGTTTTGCAAAGCAGTAGCCAAACTATCCCTGAACATGCAAGAAGCAAAAGGGTGGGACAAAGAGGACATCTCACATCATTACGTGAAGAAAAAGCACCCAACTTCTGAGTGCAAGCACTACTCACCAAACCCTTTCATGGCTTTCCTCAATACCTCTGCGTCCCTCAGAGGGTCAAAGGATGGAGCATCACGGACTGTGCCTCGGTTTCCAGACTGCATTGTCCAAAGAAGAATGGGGGGGAAAGCTATCAACCAACGTTTACTACTTCACCTGCCTGCCGCTTTCCCTTACAACACATCACTACCCATCCTTCTCCCGCCACTCAATGTGGCAAATGCATACCCAGAAACCATAGCTGGTGGAAAGTGGTGGGGTAAGGGTCAAGCATCCTTCCCATGCACCACCTGTCAACCACCAATTGAACTCCTTCCCATCACTTTTTAGCATTCGACAGCATCTGGGGCACACAGGTGCAACACGTGCCATCAAACACCTAGTTTTTGCACTTTTCCTATTATACACTGGAAGAAAAGGAAGCTCAATAATTTAAGAAGAGGTTCTCTTACCACTCCGGGAGTGATGGTGGGCACTGTTGGTCCTGGATAAGATGGCATAGAAGGATTAACAGCTGGGCCAGAAGGGTAACTTGGCATAGGCTGCTGGTGCCCTGGCGGCGGCATTGGCTGCTGCCCAGGATATGGCTGTTGCCCAGGATACGGCTGGGGCTGCTGTCCTGCTCCTGGCATCGGGCCACCTGGATACCCTGGATAAGATGGCATTCCTGTTGGCGGGTTTCCTCCTGGCGCTGGCGGGTACATTCCGTAAGACGGCTGCTGTCCTTGAGGAGGTTGCCCAAAGCCTCCAGGAGCTTGTCCAAAGCCTCCTGGGGGAACCGGGGGGTAGCCACCGGGGACTGGAGGGTACATGCTCTGCGGCACGTTGGCGCCACCAAACGTTCCCGACATGTTGGAAGCCTGAAAAATCAAATGCACAAAGTTAGCACGTGTGCCTCAAATAGCACGTAGCATTTCTGTAACACTTTGAGGGTTGAGAGCACTCTATGTACATCTTTACAACTGCCATCTAAACAGGCCAGTATTATTACAGATAGGAATCCACAAGATAGGAGGTTGCCTAAGACCTTTGGGGTTCACTAGATTTGAGCTTGGGACTTCTTGGCAAGACCGCCCAGCTACTTGTCCCCTGTGCTACTCTTGTCTGAAGGAGCGCCTCCACCTCCATCGTTCTGCCCGGACACTGAGGTCCAGCGCCGAGGGCCTTCTGGCGGTTCCCTCGCTGTGAGAAGTGAGGTTACAGGGAACCAGGCAGAGGGCCTTCTCGGTAGTGGCGCCTGCCCTGTGGAACGCCCTCCCAGCAGATGTCAAGGCAATAAACAACTATTTTACTTTTAAAAGACAACTGAAGGCAGCCCTGTTTAGGGACGTTTTTAATGTATGGCGCTGTATTGTTTTTAATATTTAGTTGGAAGCCATCCAGAGTGGCTGGGGAAACCCAGCCAGATGGGCGGGGTATAAATAATAAATTATTATTATAATAATAATAATTATTGTCTGTGTGATGCTCCACATCAATCCAAACTATTAAGAGGTCATCATTTTGAACAGGCTAGAAGAGCTCCCTAGGTCCCAGAGCCTAGACTACTAATGAGCTTGCGTACTCCCTGCTCCTCCACCAGCACAGTGGCAGAGCTGAATTTGGAATCTTTCATTTCTGGTTTTCATTAACCACAGTTTGCCATGTTACCATGGTAACCCAAACTGTGTTTAGTCTTAACTATGCTTAGTGGAAACAAGGTAACTTCACACCATAGTTTACGAATCTGTCTTGTTTTCTCTACGTACAGTTAAAACTAACCACAATTTAGAATTTGAACAACAAGCTGCACTGCAGTTAATCAGAAAAAGCTTATGATAGGGAAGGTACGTTCGTTCATACAACACAGAACTATGGCATAGAAATTTTTATTTTATATTTTCTACCTTTATATTTTATGTTCTGCATTTCATCTATGTAAGCATATGCTAATGTCCAATACTTTGCACATGCAAAGTATCCATTTCCCCCTCAATAATATGGGGTTTTTATTGGCATATAAACAGGGTTTTACCATTCTGTATCATTTGCCTGCTTGAGATATGGGCTTATGCAAATATCTCATTTGCCATGCTAAACAGAGTTGGGGATGTGGAGCACCTTGTTACACACTGTGCTTCACAGAACTGTAGAATCATAAATTTGGAGGGACCCCGTGGGCCATCTGGGCCAACTCCCTGAAATGCAATAATCTGAACTCATGGTCCCTCATCCAGTTTGAAACCATATGGGACCCTGCTTAGCTTTGCAAATGTGCTAACAGCATTCTTGCCGCAACCACCAGGAGGAGCTTCAGAGAATACTTTTGCGAACATAATCTGTCTGTTACAGCTTTTACCACTGATGAAATAAAGGACAGATATGGAAAGAAGACAAGGGGAAGAGAAGTTGAATGTAACTTTATTACTGCTGTAAACCACTATGAGGCCCTTCCTTGGAAAGCAGAATCTAAATATGTTAAAAGACGACAAAAATTCAGGCAGCAGAATTTCGCAGCTGGCTTTAGCGGAAACAGGAAGATCTACCAAATTCCAACTGAAATTACTCACCATGCCTGACATATAGTCTGGATTAAACTGGTTGGCATAGCTTCCAACATTTTCTAGCCCAATTGGAGGAGGATTTGCAGGAGGGTAGCTGGGAGCCCCCCAGGGGTTGCCACCTGAAATATTAAAAAATAAAAATGCACAAGAGCTACAGAACAGTTGTATATCTGTTTGTTAGCATATGGATTTCTATGGCAGAATTTTCACTGTAATGGCCACTGGCAAAAGCAGGCAGGCTTCGATGCAGTTCCATTTTGCTCTGTTCTCCATCCCTGGACCAACAGATGTTGCAACATAAAGCAGCAGGTTCTCTGAAAGCTACTGTAGTAATGCTCCGGCCCCTCGCCCCTCCCTCACCTGTCCTTACCATCCAGCTGGATCAGGTCTCCAGGAATGGTGGCCGGCAGCATGTACTTTTTTACAGAACAAAGCGCATCAAAAAAGGTGGTTGCTGCCACCACTCCCCTGTGCCAGGGCACCAGAAGACATAACCCAAGGGAGGAGGTTATACTTCCTAGTTACCGGCTGCCCCAACCTACAATTTGTTTCCACAAAAGGCAGGCAGAAGTTTAACAGATGTAGTATGGCTAATTTTTCAGGCTCTGGATTCAGGCTTCCCCTCAGATTGGCACACAAGACAGGAAAAGGTCTCTTTTTAAAATTTATTTTAAATTAAACATGCTTAAAAAGCAGACACTTCTCTTATATATTTCAAACCAGTAAAACAAAGACATGGTAGAATATAGCTAACTAACATACTTACAAATGAGAACAAAGACAAAGGTAGAATAGTTTCAGAGTTCTCAGTAAAATCCGCATCTCAAAGACAGCAGGAATCTTCATCACAAAGACACACAGGCAGGACAACTGTTAGCAAGGTGGCAACTAACAGACGGGCGAATTGCGGATTTTTTAAGGATCTTTATTTCTAAATCTCACTTGGAAACAGAACTCAGATCCAACCAAAATTCCTGATTATGTTTAAATTCACCAAAGGTTAGCTAATTGACTAGTAATTTTAACTTGTGACAGCTGAGTTCGTTAGTTCCCAGGACTTTGGATCAAAGAGTTCCTCCCTTCTTCAGATACTCAGCAGATGCACATTCCCAGAGTGATTAGGGTTGATAGCAACGCTGTTTGGGTGTGAATGAGTTAGGTACCAGGTGTCAGAAGGCCACTAATCAACCTGGAGAAGCTTCTTCCTGAGATAAGCAACTTCACACATTTGGAGACTGTTAGCCTGCAGTGTTAAAGCAACAAAACCCATTTCCCATAAATCTTATGGCTTTTGACTTCCCACAATACTTTGCTTCTCACTTGACCAAAGTTTGGATCTATTGAAATTTCCCAACTTCACTACAGCTACGCTAAAACCATGCGTGCATTCAAAGGCTAATAAACGGCCGTCAAATAGATAATCATCTGTTTGCAAAACATGCAGCGTATAAATAACAGGCACTAGAGCAAAATACATGGCAAGAGGAACGGTCGCTTCCTTCCTTCTAACAATGTAAGAGAGGTGATAACAGCAGGGAATGTAAACTATATCTTCATAGGAAGCTATATGCAGCTGCTCCATACAAGAGTCAGACCAGTGGTCTATCAGCCACAATTCTGTCTACTCTGACTGGCAACAGCTCTCCCAGGCCTCTTGAGCTCTACAAACCGGAGATCCCTTCAACTGAATATGCTGGTGACTGAATCCAAGGTTATTTGCACTACTCCAAATGAAAAAATGGGGAAAAATTGGAGGCATAATAGTTGAACTGTATAATATGAAATAAGATTTGAAAGAAGGTGAGGTATTGCTGAATAAGATTGTGTAAAAGGGAACACAGAAAAGGGAGATGTGAGGGAGTCTGGAAGGAGGATTATGAGAACAATATCTAAGAAATTGGTTTTTTATGTCTTTTTTATGTCTTTTTTCTTTTGCTCTTTATGATGGGTTTTTTATTGTGCTTTTCTGTTTTTTGGATTGAATGTGATGGTGTTTTTTCTTCTTTTTGTATCCTGTATTGTGAAGTTTGTTTATTGTTTGAAACTTTAATAAATATCTTTAAAAAAAAATATATTTGCACTACTCCTCTGGTTTGCACCCTTCTGTTATCCAATTCCCGCCAGGTTACTATGATTATTAAATGAAATACAGTAAGCTTACCTGGAGCAGCAGGTGGATAACCACCGGCAGGAGGATACCCGGGATAACTCATTCTGCAGGACTGCAAAAAGAAGAACAATGATTTAATACACTGCAAAGTGTTAATTACATATTTTATTTATATCAGTTGGTAGAGCCTGAGGCTCTTAATCTTAGGTTCATAGGTTCAAGCCCCACACTGGGCAAAATATTCCTGTATTGAAGAGGGTTGGACTAGATGACCCCCATGGTCTCTTCCAACTCTACAATTCTATATTCTGAATACCAGTCGCTGGAAAGAAGGCAGTAGTGATCAGATCCTGCTTGCGGTTTCCGAAAAGGCATCTGGTTTGCCACTTTGAGAACAGGATGCTGGCCTATATGAGCCACTGGCCTGATCCTGCAAGCTCTCCGTACATTCTTACATACGCAACACATAGCAGCTTAAAACTAAAGCAGCTGGGATTGTTTTGAACTTTTGGGATTTTTACCATCAAATTTAGCTTCGTTTTGCCTTTCTTCCACAAAGCTCTGCCCATCCTCACCCATTATCCTCAAAATCATTCTTTGTGGTAGGTTACACTGAGAGATGGCAAGTGGCTCAAAGTAGGATCTGTGGACAAATGAAGGGTCTTTTTGTCAAATTCTAGCCACTACGCAACTATTTCTCATTACATCGTGTTGTGCATTTTTATAGTTTTGATGCCACTATCACTGAGATAAATTGTAACCTCATGATCCTGGCAATCTCAGGAGATCCTGCCATCCAAAACTGTATGAGATCTAGATTTAGGAAACCGCAAAGCACTGTAGCTACGGGACTTTTTCATATGATTGCAATCACAGGTAAAATAAGGACACTTTAGTGGTTTTTCATCCTCAGGCTGGAAACTGGTGCACCTTTTTAATGACACAGCTGCAGATGTGTACTTATTAATCTCAGAATCAGAGAACTGTAGAATTGGAAGGGACACCAAAGGTCATGTGGTCTAACCCCCTGCAATGCATGTTCAAACAGTGAACATCATGCATCATGTTCACAAAGTGGGGAACCAGCAGTCAATCAAACGCAAGTGATATGCTGCATGTGTATGCTGCAAGCACATTTTTTCCTTATCTGCACATATAAAACGCTTTAAATATGCATGTTGCAGATTAAATTTCTAAAGCAGGTCCTGCTTTGTCTTCAGCTTCAATGCCCTCCACCCCCCCACTTAAATAATACTCCCAGGGTGGTTCCCCCAGAATCAGGCTGTTAGACAAGCTCTCCTGTCCACAAGCAGTTCTTTCTCCCTAGTAAAAACATGAAGCCACTTCCTTTATTTTAAGCTACATTTATAACTTCTACTTTTCATAGTAAAGGTTTTCAAATGAGAGCTAACAAGAACTCAAACACATTACTTTGGCGTGAAACGTAGCTAACTGAAAATACATCAATGGAACCTAGTATTACTTTTTAGTAACAACCAGTAAAAAGAGGGGAGCCTTCTCCAGATGTGGCACACAAACATCTGCCCCATTACGAACAAATCCAGGAGAGCAAGTTTTTGATGTTAGATCCCTCTGCCTCTAGAACTGTAAAGCTCTTTTAAAAAAAATACAGCCATAATAGGCTCATTCATTCCTACCAGCCACCCCCAAATGCCAGCAAGTAAAGAGGGAACAAGGGGCACAAGCAAAGAACTGTGCTGGGAGGCAAGACAAGTCGGCAGGCAGAGAAGCTTGTTGATTTAGCTGCCTCCCCGAGGTTGGAATTCATTTCGTCCGTCTGAAGCCGAAGCGCGTTGCTATGCCAACTTTCCCACCCTGAGTTACCTGCAGGAACTATGGCGATACTGTGGGACCACATTCCAGTTAGAACTGTGCTAACCAGAAGCTGCACGTGGATAATTTCAGAGGCGTTATGAACTAGTGAAACTGGTAAAACACTTATGTTATTCCTATTTTACACACAGATGGAAGATGAAAGAGATTTAGAAGGAAATGGCAGTGGTGGGGAGGTGCGCCACATGGTCTTTCCCAAGGTTTGAAATTCCTTTAGAATTGCTTGCTTCCCCCCCCTTTTTTTTTTGCAATTAACTGGGAATGGAATTAAAATGGCTGTTTCACACAGCACTTTCTGAAACTATGATATCCAGCAATGCCGCTGCCCATGACGAGAATAGTTTTACATAGGTGTTACAGAACTAAGGGCTCATTCACACTTCTGCTGCTTGCCCCCAGGGATATCTTTACTGCTAAATCAGAGCCAACACCAATTTTCTCCAGACTGATGTTTGCTCCAATTCACTGCTGAAGAGTGGGGTATTTGGGGGGAGGGGGACTGTGGGGCAAAGGCAAAACTGCTTGGACTCATGCCCAGGAAGCACAAGACAAGCCTGAATAGCTCAGTTGGCTGATCATGTGAAGGTTGCAAGTTTGATCCCCACATGGGAAAGCTGCATATTCCTGCATTGCAGGGGGTTGAACTAGATGATCCTCAGGGTCCCTTCCAACTCTGGCATTCTATGATTCTATAAGTGGGAAACATCTCGGACCCTCTCATCTGAACTGCATGGTTTTATTTAACCAAGGTGCACTGTTACAAATGCACTGGTACCAACCATGGTTAATACTGAAAAGGATTGCCCTAATCCAGGGGTCAGCAAAAATTTTCAGCAGGGGGCCGGACTATATTTTTTGGGGGGAAATGAACAAATTCCTATGCCCCACAAATAACCCAGAGATGCATTTTAAATAAAAGGACACATTCTACTCATGTAAAAACACCAGGCAGGCCCCACAAATAACCCAGAGATGCATTTTAAATAAAAGCACACATTCTACTCATGTAAAAACACGCTGATTCCCAGACCGTCTGCGGGCCGGATTTAGAAGGCAATTAAGCTGGATCTGGCCCCCGGGCCTTAGTTTGCCTCACCCATGCCCTAATCTCTTATAGCACATTGAACGCAGCACAGACCAAAAGGGGAAAAAATAGAGTTAACATGCCACCTCCCTCCTCCTCCAGCGTAATTCAACAGATCACAGATTCAATAACATCAGTCCAGAATCCATTGGGACTGACCAGTCAAGCCAAATGTAGCCCACTAGCAACCTATTAAGGCCTGCCAGGTACTAAACACCCCCCTCCCCGTTTTTGCAGTTCTAGGAAGGTAGGGAAACCATGAGGCTTCACTGAGTCCTCCCTGGGCTGCCATTCAGAGCCCGCAGGTTGAATTTGATTTGGTGGGGGGCAAAGCCAGACAGCTCTATGTAAACCGACCACCAGATAATTTGCAGCCTACTATCAGGGTGGGACGAAACATTGGGAACAAAAGCAAGAGGAAAATAGCCAGTTCTCAACAACAGGATGTTGTACTGGAATTTTTAAGCCTCATGCAGTTTCCAAGGGAAGTTTCCACCCATAGCAAGTTAGAGGGAGTTAAGAGAAATGGGGAGCTGAACCACTCAATCCTCCTCTTCCTTCACCAGTTCCCCCAAAACTGAACGAAATAGAGGAGTGAGGCACTGCAACACAAACTGAGGATGCTAGATACAACGTATTACTACTACCGGCCAGCACAACTCGAGGCACAATTAAGCTCAACACACCCTACTGACTGACCATGGATGATGGCCCACCAAGTGGCTCAACAAACCACCTGTTCTTGCTGCCAGGGCAGAACTTTAAAAAGAGGAGAGCAGTGAAGCCTCTGGCAGGTCACGGTGGGCTGCGTGAGGCTTGGCTAGTCAGTAGTTGCGCAGGCCTGTAATTAACAGTCGGATTCCCACCATTAAAGCACCAGGAACTGAAATTGCTTTGGTTTTGCTTCTAGATTTCTCAAGTTTCCTACTTAACAATCTGAAAGCTCCTTAGGGAGAAATGCCTTACGGTAACAGACTCATTCTGCTGTATCTTAGATTTCACAGCCTTTCAACCCCCCCCCCCCCCCAAACGACATCCTGCATCTGAAAGAGCGACTCACTTGATCAGGTGAGTTCTAGCCTACTAAAACTTACACCACAATAACTGTTGCCTTTAAAGCTCTTAGTTGTGATTTTGCTCCTCAGAAAGTTGTGAGTTCGATTCTTGCATCGTGGGACTAGATGACTCTTGGGGACCTCCTCCAACTCTTCCAAGTCTATGAGCACAGTTTAAAACCAAAGTGCTTATACTGTGACATTCTAAAAACCATTCGGAGGTTCTTCCCATCTTAATTCGCTTTGATTTTTAAAGTTATAATAACTGTTGCAAGGGGGGAAATGACTTAGAACAGGCATAGGCAAACTCCGGCCCTCCAGATGTTTGGGACTACAATTCCCATCATCCCTGACCACTGGTCCTGTTAGCTAGGAATGATGGGAATTGTAGTCCCAAACATCTGGAGGGCTGGAGTTTGCCTATGCCTGACTTAGATTAAACTAACTAACTAAAAGTGGAGAATGGAAAGGAAGGAATGAATGAATGGCAGTTGTTCATTCAATCAGGTGCATAAATAGCCACTTGCCAGTAACAAGTTAAGAACTGGTTCCAGGAGACAAGCCAAGGAAATATGCACAGCACACACAGCCCATCTAGGCATAAGTGCTGACAGACTAGTCATCTCTGTTGCTAGCAGCAGTTGTGGGCTCATCAGCAAAGCTATCCGTAAATGCAAACCAGGGAACCTGACACCTTGAAACTGTGGCTTTTAATTTTTTTTTAAAAAAGCCCTGGCTCTCAGTTTGTAGAGATGAACACTTGCTTCTACACTTGGACCTTTGAGTGCAGCTGGGGCACTGCTCCTACCCAATTTTCTGGTACCACCAAGTGTTTAGAGTGTCGCTATAATCCCCGTAATATTTGCACAATGCCCTTCCCTATGGGAAAGGCAGAAGCAACTCCTCAGAAGCAATTCCTTTCCTGCTTCCTTTTTTCAGCCCCTTTTAAAACCAGGCACTTCCTCCTTCCTTATTTGATGTATTTTTTAATGACTCAGACTTCACTCTGTGGCAAGAGCCCTACAATCCGCAAGTTCCTGGTTATCTCCCAGTTGCCATCAACCCTGCAGCAGAGCTGTTCTTATCTGCAGCCTGAGTAAATCCTACAAATGGCTTGCTACGTGTTCACCGCCACTATTATTACCGCAACTGCGCAACAAGAACAATACGG